TTTGCTGAATTGAATTCCAAGCTCTATTATCGCCACTATTTAAATATACCCCACATTCCTCTGCTTAGACCGTCAACCCCCAGCTGTACCAACTGAAATGTGACCCATCATTCAAGGTCTGGCTTAAATACCACTTCCTTCATGAAGTCTACCTTAGTCCCCCAGCAAGATACAACCTCTGTCTCCTGTGAACTCCCAAAACATTTTGATGCATTTATTGTATTTTTATATACTGTGTATTATGGTTATTTAGGTATCTTTCATCCCCCAGCTAGACTGCTTGCTTTGAGAGGTTATGCCATGTTGCCTTATTCATCTTTACACTGTTTCAAAGTATCCTGCACATAGTAGGGGCTCAGTATGTTATTTGTTGAATGAACTGAATGAATTAGCTTAGTAAACTTTTTTATACCACAGAGGTGATACATACATGAAGAAAATAGTACTGTTTTCAGTCATATTTTCAATGTATATAAAAAGACTTACTTATAAAATTCATTTAGGCCTGTAGACCTAGGTCATTTATGGACCCATCTTATAAAGCAAGTATTGATAATGAATGAAAATTTATATTACTCCAAACCATGAATCATACACAGAACATGCAGTCTGATCATTAGAATACGGAAAAAAATCTTCCTAACCATTGGTAAAATGTTAATTTTTTTTACCATAAAAAGCCTTCAGTACGTTTCCTCAAATATCATGAAGTAGAAAATATTACAGCCAGAAGCATAAATATAATTCCCTTCTACTTTGCCCTATAAAGACAAGATATCATGTTTCACCTTTTAAAAAAAACTCCCTATTTTCATTTTATTTTGTTGTATTTGCAGTTCAATCTTTTGGTAAAACAATATTTTCACACTGATTCATTTAGTGGATTTTGGTTTTAGGGTCTTTAGGAGCAATATTTTGAAGGCTGAAGAGGCAAAATAGGAGTCCCCAAAAGAAAAGTAAAACAGAAAAGAAATGAATCCCTTGTAAAACCAAAAAAGGGTCATAGAAGGTAAAAGCAAGGAAATTATGGTCTGCCTAGTGGGGATAAAAGGTGTGGGGGGGATTACTAGAAGGAATATCCTGCACCTGTCTCCTAAAATAATACCCATTCCATCCCCAACTCTTACCCAAAATAAGACAACTAGGCAAATTTGAGGACTTCTCACCTGGCCCCAGCCTGGTCACCTGGACAGTCCAGGCAAGAGGCCCCTAAAACACAAGGGCATGAGATTGAAGAAGTCTGCACTTGGTCAGCCCCACTCTCCCATATCCCAAACAAGCTGTAGGAAAAGGAGAAAAGGCAGATGAGAGAAGGGAAACCCAAATGTGCCTCCTGCCTACAGCTTTCTCATCTTTCTTCCTACACTATCTACCATACCTAGAAGTACTCTCCAAGCAGGTAACATGGAACTTCTAGTTTAATCTAGATAAAATCTATAATCTGAATCTGTAAACAGTGGCTTTCCCAAAATTCCTGGATACTTCAAAAAGCCCCTGAGCCACAGTTCTATTTGTTTACACTCATTATGGTAGTTACACAAAGCAAACAGGTGGGCCTAGCTTCCTTCTGGCAGCATTCATTGGATAATTCAAACATTTATTAAGCACATAATATGTGCAAAAGGCAGCATGTGACAGTGGACGGTGTACTAACCTCACAGGCAGAAATAACTGCTCAAAGTTTGCCTCTCAGGCCTACAGGTCCGTGATGTTCCACAAATCACTTACTCTCTCAATAATCCCAGGCAACATTCTAAGGCTATAAATTGAAGAGCAGGTATCAATCTACTTTGGTTGAGAGAATTTCCTCCCTGGGAGCTCCCTAAGACCATGAAATTACAGGTTCTGTCAAAAAAAAAAAAAGTACTATGTGCAAGGCAATATGATACTCAATAGAACCTTCCCTTATTTGTGGCAAAAAAAAGCATGAAATCTCATAGAAACAGGTAGGTAGGGAGGCACATTTTGTTTGTCCTTATTTTGAAAGTGACTACTACAACAGGAACTGAAATGCTAATTTGCTCATGTTCTTACTAAGGAAATATTTAGTTTGCCTCAAGGGCCTCACAAGTGACTAGTTACATGGCCACACAAATCCTCCATTAACCCAGATACACTGCAATAGACTTGAAGAAACCAAAATACCTGATCAAATTAACTACTGTGAGCTTAGGACCTAATATATTTAGAGAATGCTTGTGAAGTTATGCTTTGTTTCCATAGGATCTTAAGCTAGCAGTACCTTATAGACACAAATGATGGAACTCAAAAAGGTTTGCGATCCCAAATACCATGTAACCTCATGCGTGAACATTCTTCATATTTGTCACTGATTAACCATAGGATATAATATAAAACAAAGTGATATTCTTTTATTTATTTATTATTATTTATATTTTATTTAATTTCTCTCCTGAGCCAGATCCACATCTCCAAATGCCCACAGAATATCTCTACCAGGATATTGCAATGGTACTTCAAACTGAATGTCCCAAATTGAGCAAGTTATCTTTTTTCCCCAAACCCGCTACTGCTCCTTACTTCAATATTTCTTTCAGTGGTACCACCATTTATCCCAAAATTATGTCTGAAACTTGGGGTAATCTTTGACTCTTCCTTCTCTTCTCATATCATTATTAAGACCTGAAAACTTCACCTCTATAGTATCTTTCCAATCCATCCATTATTCTATTCCCATTGCTAACATCTAGTACAGACACTCATTATGACCTACCTAAGCTATTTCAATAGATTCCTAATTGGTCTTTTTGTTTCCCCTCTATTCTCAATCCAAACCATCCTTCATTATGACCTCTTAGCTGTCTTGCTAAGACGATCCTAAACTGTGATGGGGATCAATGGCTCTGCTGAAAGTGGCATCATCTGTGCTGAGGTCCCGATGACCTTGAAGTTGATCCCATTTATCTTTGCTATTTTGCATCAGGGGCCCATTGTGAAATAGCTGTGACATCACTTCCACTACCTGAACTTCAGTGGGGAAGGGGTATTAATTGTTTATTGTCTTTCCATTTTTACAGTTCTTATATCTATATTAAGCTCTTCCTATAGTGCTACCTATGTTGAGCTTTTCTGAATCTTCAAGGTCAGGATTATCTACTAGCGGCGGAAGATTACTTAGAGGAACTGTGGAACCTTGTTGCCAAGGGGTACAAGGTAGCAAGGCACATTTATTTATTTATTTATTTTATGTAGCCAAGGTTCATTTTTCTTTAAAGCGGCAAGGAAGCTATCCTTGGTATTAGACATGATTGGCCCAGAGGACTAGGATTTGAACTAGTTGACTGGTATGGCTTTCTAAGGCATAAAAAACTCAATCTATGAGAAGTTAAGACTTCTCAGGTTTGGTAAAATACTCATTGCAACAAGTCATTATACCTCTTGAATTATGCATTGCCACCATGACTGATGCAGAGGCAAAAGGGAGGCTCATCTGCCCAAATCAATGTTAAATCTTTTTTAATCACTCCTATGATTCAGAAAACTCCTATTTGCTAAATATTTTATGTTCAACAAGCATCTCATTGAATTCCAATCCTAAACTACTAGACTGGCCTAAGTTAGGTCTGGTCCATAATAACAACATTCCCAGGCATTTTCCTTTTGTGTAACAATGATAACAAACACAATTAAAATTTATCTACCACTTTAAATTATTTTCTTACAACTTTGTGAACAAATAGAAAGCCAACAAACCATGTAAATTTTATTTATGAGGAAACAGAGTTGTTCAGAGGTTAAGTGACTTACCTAAGGACACACATAATGACAAATGTGGGAAGCCAAGATTCCAGGAGACCTATGTATGTTGACTCCAAAACTGTGCTCTACCCACTGTACTATACACTTCCTAAATTTACTTCTACTCTAAGATTTTCCATGTTTTTTTTTTAAAGACTTTTGAATACAATTAACACTCCCTGGCCAACACCAAGGTCTTCCCAATCTTGTACCAAGCTTGATCTTTCCAGCCTTATCTCAAACTACTTTCCTTGGTGTATGCTATACTCCAGCCAAACTGTAATACTTTCCATGCAGTTCTTTATTTTATAGGATCATAGAATCACAAATTTAAAGCTGAAAAGGGCCTTAAAGGTCATTGAGCCTAACATCCTCATTTTTCAGTTGAGGAAACTGAAGCCCAGAGAAGCTAAGTGACTTGCTCATGGTCACACAGCAAATAAATGTCTGAGGCATCATCCAAACCTAGGTCATCCAAACTCCAAGTCTAATACTCCATCCACTATACCAGCTGTCTCTCTTATAAATCAAATGTCTCATTTCCATGACTTTAATTATGTTCTTTCGTGTGCCTGGACTATCTCCTCCTCTCCCCCACTCTTATCCCAACATACTCCATTGAATTCGACCCATCCTTTAAAGCCCAACTCAAATGCCACCTCTTCCAGGAAATCCTTTGTGATCCTTCCAATTTGTAATGACACAGCATTTTGTTTATACCTCTCTTACGTATTTATCATGAACAATTTCACATTCAACAAAATAAGTAACATTTATAAGACTTTATTTATGGAGAACACTATACTCCACTCAGTGCTAAGGTAAAAAATTTTAAATAAGATAGTCACCTGCCTTTGAGGGGCTTAGAATCTAATATAGAAATAACCTTTATCTTACACCCTCCCATTGGACTATAAGCCCTGAGAGGGCAAGGCCAAGTCTTATCTAAACTTTGTATTTAATTCAATGCTTAGAATAATGTTTTACACCAGAATGCAATAAAAGTTAAATTTAATTGAATTTGACAGAAAAACTTTATAGTTAAAGAGAAAATTGTTCTCATAAAATTAAAAATACTAAAAAGTAAATAAAGCTATAATGGCACTAAAAAACTACTGCAACATAACAGAACTACATAATAAATAGTGAGAGAAATAAAATAGGAGCTTCATTTATAATTCATAAACAATTTCAACTCAATAAACTCACTGTTGTTTTTAAGCTCAAAACTAGATACCTACTGCTATCTTTGTAGACTAATATAATGCAGGCAATGATCTTCAAAAGTTCAGCAATGACAACTGCAGTAGATGACAAATAACGAGGCCCATCTTCTTTCAAAGTCCTTGAATAACGCATAGTCAGAACTAAGCTGGTAGTCTGAAAGACCAGGATTCCCAAAGAAAGGTACTTTAAATTGGCAGACATTGCCTTTTCTTCACGTGCCTAAAAAAATAAAAGCAGAAAACAACAATTAATTAGCCAAAATGCAAAGCGTAGAAACAAACACATTAAAAACTAATGAAAAAAAATGAGTACATTATGTATGGCACTGCTTTTTTTTTTTTTTTTAACCAAGCTTTCTATGCTTCTGGCTCCTCTACAATACAGAATAGTAACAAAGATGCTCTAGTTGTATGCTTTTTGTCTCTATTCCATTCCAACTTGTCTCACTGGATTAACAAAATCTTACTTAGACTTTGCCTAAACAATAAATTACCCCTTTTACTATTCTATATAACTCACCTTTCTGTTTTTCACCCTCTTCATTACTGTTACTTTGTTACCACTTTGTTACCACGTCAAGTATATTCTATACAAAAGTTTATTTCACAACACATCCACCCCCAACATAATTCTTAGTCCCAACTTCAATCTGTGTCAACTGGTATGGAGCATGTGTGTAAAATATGTTACTGAGGATAAAGAATGGTAATCACTGCTGTATGAAATTAAATACTAAAATATTATACTTCTATTGATAATATTTAAAAATCTTGCAAACTTCAGGTTGTTTTCACTACCACACTCCATCACACTCTTTTGGGGTAAAAAGTACAGCTATCTGTTCAACTAGCCTAGTAAAAGACCATGAACATGTAAATAGCAAATATTTTTACGATGGTGAAAAGTCTGTATATTTTTTTCAATGAAAAAAAGAACTTAATAAAACTTTCATACTATAGAGGAAAAAGTAAATATTGAATGTTTCTTGTACCAGACAACTGGCCTGTGGCATGGAACCAAACACTTCTGTTTATACTCAAGCCATGTTTCAAAGCTCTACCAGTAAAGACCAGAGTCTTTACACAGAATTACAGGATTATATAATTTTAGACCTGGAAGGACCTTAGAGAACATTCATCTTATACATGAACAAACTGATGCAAAAAGATGTTGAATGAATTTACCAAAGCCAAAAGACAGTCACTGGAAGAAAATGAACTAGAACTTGAATCTTCTGGTCCAATACTGTTTCTACTATGTCATGCTACCACTTCAGCAGTCCTAGAAGTAAGCTTTCTAAAAGCCTAGAAAAAATTTGGGCCTGTACTTCCTGTGTTAGAGTAACATAAAAGAGAAGTAGGTGCCAGAAACCTACTTTTGGCACAGGCGCCTAAATCTCCTGGAAAATGTCAAATGCTGATTTCAAATCTGTTCAAAGAATTTTATGTTTCTAAAGTACACCTGAGGACACAATGCACTTACAATCACGGTAATTTCATTTTTTTTAAATAAAAAAAGGTCAGACCCCAAGTCAGGGTACATTTTTTTTCAATTTATAGTTATTTTCTCTTTTCCTTCTAGTTTTGCTATCAATTCACAGTTAAATTAATGAAGGTCATTTTTTTATATACACATTAAACTTTATAATATGGTCTTTATCAAGACTTTAGAGTATAAAAAAAAATCTAAATAAAAATACATAATCCCTGTTTGTAAGGGATCTTACAGGCTATTTAATATGCTAATAAAGCTACCAAACAGCCATTTACCCATGCTAAGTAATAATTTATGCTAGCCAAAATGTAAAGAATAATTCTACATGTTATACTATTAGTGCCTCAGAAGGGAAAGTAAAGAGGCTCATCCAGAGATTTGGGAAACTGTTTATCTCACTCTCAAATAATACTGTCTATACAAATAAAAGAAATACAAAGAAAACCAACATATAACAAATATATTATTATCTAAATAATAGCATGTCATTTGACAAGTAATTCATCATATTCTCCATCCATTCTCAGAGGTGAAATGGACCTCAAAAATCATCCTAGTCCAATCTATACCTGAATAGGAACTCCCTCATATATGCATTCATTCTACAAACTGGACCCAGAGTTAAATAAGAGGAAGAGACTGAGTTGTAGAAAGTATGTAGTACTTTCAGTGATCTCAAACTGCTCACTTCTACAAAAGCACCTATACTTTTATTTTTAGCATCAATATTCTCTTGGTGATGCTATAAGGTTGCAAACCATGCATCATAGTCTTGAAAAATTAAAATGACAAATAAGCCAAACAGCAAAGAAAAGATGCTTGGTATCATGCTATCGACAACTTCCACATGAGGGTAACCAGGAGAGACTGATGAAAACATGAATTACAGTAAAAAAGGTGGGCTAGTCATTGCTGCATGAATGAGACAAAAAAGAATGGCCTGAGGGGTACACTGTTCCCCTAGAGACATTTAAAGAAGACCTCAGGCTTGTTCAGTACATCATCTGTGGAGAATTGTTGGAAAACATGGACAAGAACCTCACAGATAAGAGGTTTGAAGGGGTTTCACTCTGAATCAATGGAGGAAGTACCCAAGGTAATAAAAAAAAATTGGAGCCACAAAAGTATCTATAAGGTTATATAAAGTACTATGCTGGCCTTCACTTAATTTCTAAAATAAAATAAAAAATGTCCACTTTGGCAGCACTGAAGACAGCAAAAACTATGCAAACAGAAACAATTAAAAAAACAAAACACTTCTTTATATTCCTATTACTTAAAATATTCTTATTATTTCTATACCGGAATCCCTATAATTTCCTTCTAGACTTATGACACTGAATTTAATTTTCTACTTTCAATGCCTTATTTTATTTTCAGCTTAATTTCTGCTACCTCTATCAGTTCTCCAAACTATTCTTTATTTCATTAAAAACTTTCTGTCCATCCAGGAGTCTTGGAAATATATATTTGTTGAAAAAGACTCTCTAGTTAAAATGATTTTAGTCACTAAATCTACTGAACTTTGTTTAGTAAAAGGAGACTATTAGGGGATTCCTTCTAGTGGGGGAAACTGAAATTTATTGGGCTACCTTATAGGTAACAAGGGGAGAGGGCATCTCCCTGCCCACTGTGAAAGAGATTCAAGTTCCTAAAGCCACTTTTGTCTTCTTCAGTATCTTCTCACATCCCTCAAGCAAAGATTCTTTCAACCTTTGGTACCTAGCTAATCACACACAGTTATACATATAGTCAAAAGGTACTCTACCTTCTCCTAAAAACTTCTTTTAAATATTTTATTATAAACAACTTAGTTTTTAAAAAATCCTAATATCAAGGAAGATCAAAAAATTTAAAACTGAACATCTTTGATCTCTTTCAGCTCTAAAATTACGATAATACGGCTAATTGAGAAATCTCATTTTGAATGGTAGCATGAGACTACACAAGTTCTAAGTATGAAATTGTACATTATCTCTTTTGAATAATTTACGTTGGCACTTTAAAAGTCTATTAGCAACATCAAGAGGCGATGTGGCATGATGGAGAGATAGCAAGCTTCAGAGTCATGACAACCTGGGTGAAGTCCTATCTCTGATACATACAGACTGTCTGATCCTGGGCAAATCACTTAACTTCTCAGAGACTTAGGCAAGTCTCTAAGGCTATTAAGAAAAAAAAAACAACAACCCAGAATGATGACCTATCTGCATTGGTAGAGGAAGCTTTCCCACAAAGAGCTCCCTACAGTGGTAAAACCACAGATCTAAACAGGAAAGAAAAAAACAACTTTAGACTACTATACAAGTATATAACACTATAAACTCAAAATAAACTCAATTGCTAACACATCTCCTATGACAACTAATTTTTAAGCAGGATCAAGTTTGTATTTACAATAAACTATTTCTGATATTTGTGTTCTAAATACATATAACATAAATACATCAAAAAACATCACCTTCAAAATTAAAGTTAATATTTTAGAGGTGTCAAATACCTCAAAATATAAATCCCAAAATGTTTTCCTGATGAAATGAGTAGAAAAAAGTTAATACATACAGAAATATTGCTTCCAGTTGTAATTTTCAGCCCATTATCTTCCATGATTCACTCCACAATGTTACGAATTTAAAGAACTGTAATCTTTTTGCTGCTAAATTATTAAGATATAAAATTAATCACAAGCAAATGGCTTGACTTCTAACAGAGATATGCTGCATATCTGACATTAAATGTCTCAAAAGTAGATAAAGTATTTAAAAAATCTAGCAATAAGAGAATATTTTGAACTGAGGAGTAATCCTTTCTAAAAGTAATAGAGAAAATAAAAAAATCAGAATCAATTTTTACATAAATAAAAGTAGTTGTCAGTAGTAGTAGTTAGTAAAACCCATTCAGTTAACATGAGAACAGCAAGGGATTTTGACCTCTATTAGATTCCTCCAGTCCTTGTTCCTGGAAAATAAATCCAGCTTTACTAATAACTCTTTTTTTTTAACGGTTACACTAAAACAGTCCACCCATTTTAGTTGCTAAACACATCCTATGTCAAACAGCTTTCCCTTATTTCTCCTTCCTTCTTCTCAAAAGTATCAGGTGTCTGTTTGCCTAAGAAAACATTACCAGGATTCACTTATCTAACCTGTACTGTCAATCAGTAACTTGCTATTTCAAAGGCAGCAGCTTTCTTTTTCTACAATCAAGTGAAGACAATCAAATTTTAAGTACTTCCTCTCGACAGGAAATAGGAATGGTATTTTAAAATTCCAATCCTGAGAGACCAAAGCTGTGAAAGGTATTATGATCACATTTTTAGTGCGATTTACAAAAGAAATTATCTCCAAAATGTCGTTACTTTTAAGAAGTATTTTCTCCATCTTCCTTCACAAGGCCATACCAAACTATAAGCTCTGTTGCCATACTATCACTTAACTAGCTGTAAGTTAGGTAACTAACATGACCAAAATCTGGTGCTCTAATCTTTAGTAGCTATGTGACTTTGAATCACTTATGTTTTCTGATCCTGTTTTTTCATCTATAAAATAGAAATAATAATACTGTTATTTGTTTTTCAATTGGGTCCAACTCTCCATGACCCCATTTGAGGTTTTCTTGGCAGAGATACTGGAGTGGTTTGCCATTTCCTTCTCCAGTTCATTTTACAGATGAGGCACGGAAGCAAACAGGGTTAAGTGACTTGCCCAGGGTCACACAGATAGTAAGCATCTAAAGCCAAATGAGAACTCAGGAATCTGAGTCTTCTTGACTCCAGGCCTAACACTCTATCTACTGCAACACCTAGTTGCCTTAATAATACTATACAGCTAATAATATCACACAACCTAGCTTACCAGGTTGTTGTAAAGGGCTTCATAAATCTTAAAGCACCATTAAAATGGGAAGTAGCAACTGGGGTACCCCTGACCACTAAACCAGGTTTAAGGCCAACTGTTGGTGAAGATCAGTATCTATTTAAGATTACAGTTCAAAAGCTCATACCAGCATGTTTCTTTTACCAGTCAGAGAGCACTTTGAAGAAGGAAAACAACACAATTAAATAACACAGTAAATAAGCATAGTAAGACTTCCCCCATACACACAGGCTACCGAGGTCTACAGGTTACTACACTAGCAGTGTGGGAGGGATCACACATGGCCACAACACATGCAACTCATTTCTCTGAAATGGTAAAGCTATCAATTTATTCTGGTGATAAACGTTTGTTGAAACCATAAAGCTTCATAATACCATGGCTTTCACACAGAATTCATTTCTAAGTACAGTCTAAACAATGAAAAGTTTTACAACCCTGAAGAAATCAGTCTATTTTGAAAATGCTGGGGGCAGCTAGGTGGCGCAGTGGATAGAGCACCGGCCCTGAAGCCAGGAGGACCTGAGTTCAAATGTGGCCTCAGACTAAACACTTGACACTTGCTAGCTGTGTGACCCTGGGCAAGTCACTTAACCCCAATTGCCTAAAAAAAAAAAAGCTGGTCAACTTCTTCACTAGAAGAAGCTAATAAAATTAGTTGCCGTAGAATATCAAGAGAATAAGGATATTCTCTTGCATTAATGCTGCAAGGAACCTACAATTAAATCCTTTTGAATAAATATTTATAAATAAATAAAAAATGAAATGTTTTATAAAATTTCATCATCTTCAAACTGTGTAAAGTGCCATGCATTTATTTACCTGTTGATTACAGAGCACAATATCTTTCCACACTTTAGGGAAAGATGAACTCAGAGCAACAGATTTACCTGAATTGGTATAGCTGTATTGCTAGGTAAATGCAGGAACACATCCTGAAAACGCAGGGTTGAATTCTACTAAATATTTTTACCACCTTTGTACATCTCATTTTGTGTATCTCATTAAGAGAAAACTGGGTGTAATCACTTCAGAATATAATTACAGAACAGAATGATGCATCATCTGTGCACTCTAGAGGGTTTCAATTTGAAAACCCTATAGAATTCTCACACATATTATCTCAGTTTGTGCAAAAAACTCAACTAAAGACAGATATTCTCAGTTTGCTAGGAGTTTAAATAGCATTCTCAATGGTAGAGGCAGGTGAAATTTCTCTATAATGGTTTATTTTGAGAAACAGCATGGTACACTGGGTAGAGAGCTGGCCTCAAAGCTAGGAAGATCCAGGTTCAAGTTTTGCCTCTGACACATACTAGCTGTATGACACTGGGCAAGTTACAGTCATTCTGGGAAACTCCTGAAGACTACTGTATACATATATGTAGCAGAGAAGATTCCAAGTTGCAGTGGTAAAGGGAAGTTCCTCATCCAAGAGTATTAATCAAACCTGTATCAGTCAAACCACAGGTCTAGTCCCTATCCTTATGATTTATTTGCTTCAAAAATATACATCAGACTTTTACTTAAAAGGTTGAGAAAAAAATGAAATAACGTACTAGATTATAAACTCCTTAAGGCAATAAACTGTATCATTCCTTTTTGTATCTCTCTCACAAATAAATGATTGTTGAACTGAACTGAAAAGATTATTGCTATTCTTTATTAGCTTTGTGACCTTGGACAAATCACTTAACGTCTCCAGGACTCAATTTCCTAGAATGAATAGAATGAATATAATAGAATGAATGTGACTCATAGAATGAAGTGACTGCACTAGATTTGATTAAATTCAACAAATATTTGTTGTTCGGTTTTATAAAAATCTGTGATTCTTAAATCCAAGGCAAAAAAAAAAAAAAAGATGAAGGAATAGCTTCTTAGTAAATCAAGTTGTTTTCATTCACAGGAAGTAGATATGTTGGAGATATCACAGACCAGATTCTTGTTCAGACAGGGATCGGACTGGATGAACTAAGTGGTCCCATCCAACTCTGAGATTCTGTAATTCACCCTGTTATAATCTTTAAAATCTAAATGCCTACAAAACATAACTACATATAGAAAAGTCGAATAGAATTATCCTAAACAGCAGGAGTTAGTACAGTTTCTGGTCACCAAAGTTCAAATTCATTCCCTCAACAAGTATCTACTAAGTGCCCATTGTATGGGAGGCTTTATTTGAAGCATAAAGAATGCAAGACAAAATAACGAAACTGTTTCTACCCTCAGTGTGCCTAAAATTCTACTGAGGAGAAACGACTTGTATACAAAAAAATACAAAATATACACAAAGTAATTTGGAGAAAACACTAACAACTTTGATAATCAGGAAAACCCTCTTATAAGGGATGCTTTGTATTTTCAAAGGGTGCTAAAGTAACTTGAAACTGCATTTGTAACATTTGAATATTAAAGGACACAAGGTTAGGCAAGCATAAAGTTCAACTCTTCCAAGTTCACAGTAACATACTAGACTGGAATCCAGAAAAATAAACCTGATCAAAATATCAATTTGACAGCTCCATTTTGGAATACAAATAAAGAATCCAACAATGCCTTCTTATTCTATGCAATTCTTATCCGTCTTTTCCCATAAATTCTTACAAAGGATCTGCCATTTCTCATCTGATATTTTAAATAATTTATGTAAGTATAAACTTTATATAACTACAAAGAAAAAAAATTTTTCCCACATGAATTTTGTGTCAAACAGAACAAACTTCATGTATTAGACTGTAGAAAATCTTCCAGTTTATCAAAAACAGGTTTTTTAAGTTTAATATTGTTCTCTGTTGTTTGTGTGCTTAGATATTGCCCAGATAAAATTTCATTGTTGAAATTCAAATGCTTGATTCATTGAAACACTCAATGTCTCACAAACATATATTATAGAAAGATAGATACCTAGATAGACAGATGGATATAGACAGACAGAAAGATATATATAGAAAAATCCTCTTTAACAGTGCCTGGCACATAGCAGACATTTAATAAGTGTTTATTGATTGGTAAATCTCCAATATTACTTTTAATATTTAACATCTAGGCAACTAGGTGACAGTGTGTAGTGCTTGGGATTCATGAACACCTGTACTTAAATCCTGCTTCAGACACTTATTAGTTGTGGGACCTTGGGAAGTCACCCTGTTTGCTATAACTTCAGTTTCCTTATCTGTAAAATGTAACATTACTTACCTCATAGGGTTGTTATGAGGACACTGGAGATAACATGTAAAAAATGCTTTGTAAACCTTGAAGTACTATATAAATGCTAGCTATTAATATTTATTAGTCAACTGTCCCCCTCATACTTATCCCTATCTGTGCTATCTTTTACTATAAATTCTTGGAGGTCAGAACTAAATCTGACAGCAAGCTATTTGGTCATACAGGACAACATACAAAGGAGTCTGTAAGAAATGCTTCCTGGGGGCGATGATTAAATCAGGGTAGGGTATGTGGTGGCTAATATAATAACAATAAGTTCTTCAGTAAGTATTCAATAAATCAACATTTTTAAAGCCTCCATCACATCCTAGAATCGTAGACACTGGGGATACAAATACAAACAATGAAACAAACGTTACTCTCAAGTGTTCCCCCCCCCCACAGGACAGAATATCTTCAGGCTTACTACACATGTTAAAAAAAAAAAAGGTCACTTCAAATGTTATTTGAATGCTACAGTTGCTTTATTTATTCTAAGCATAAGGGGCAGCTATGTGGCACAGTGGATAAAGCATAGGCCCTGGAGTCAGGAGGACCTGAGTTCAAA